TTTTGCCTGGGAACTTTACTGTTATCATGTTACATGTTTTTCTTCTTTTCTTAAAAGGTTGGGTTTTGAAAAGGAAAAATGATGCATCTTTCATCATTGGCCACACCTTTTGGCGCTAATGGACATCTTTGGCGCCAAGAAATCAAGAAAATATAATCAACTTAATTCACAGAGAGAATTTTTTAAATCAAAATCGATAATTTTGATTCAGTATTTTTCTGAGACGTTAAAATTAAGAAAAATTTGACGTTCTCTCTAAGTAAGAACTAAATATCGACATTTCGCCAAAAATTCAAGGAGGAGACGAAAAGAGAGAAAGACTCGGATCGAGTCGGTCGACTATGGTCGTAAGTAACTTGAGTACTTAGGGCCCATGCATGTTCCTTACTACTGTAAAATGATAACAACGCGTATTAATGTTAATATATATATTTGTTTTGTCAAATATGTCAATGTTAGTCATCCAAGTTTTCACATCACTATCCACCACCTAATATACTTGTATCTTGTTTCTTATATATCCTAGCTCACCAAGAAAATTTTGTATTTTTTTAGTTTATTCAATCATTTTCGTCTATAAATTTGAACTTAGAATATCTTCTAACAAAATAGATTTAATTGTAGGAATGGTTCCAAAATTTTACCCTAGTTTAATTTTAGCTCATGAACTCTTATATTAGTTTCTTTTGTCTTCGAACTTAACAATGTGTTATACCATTGATCTTTTTCACTAAGGCCGTTTATTTTTCTGTTAAATTTAGAGGTATACTAAGAATTTCATCCCACATCACTTATGAAATTAATTTCAGAAATGAGAAAGGAAAAAAAACCTAAAAAAAGCTAGATTATTTTTTTTGTGTAAGAAAATTGAATATATAGGATTTTTTTTTTCGTAGTTCAATATGTGATTGTTAGTTGTTTAAGTCTCAAAGACCATTGCTACAATTAAACCAACAAAACAAATACGAAATACCACCAGACTAAATGATCGTCGTAAAGTATCATGGGGCAAAGCAGTCTCTAGTTCTACGGTTCGACCTACCATTGTAGATGAAAACCTTTTGGCCCTTTGATTCATAATTTGATGATTTGATGATTTGATGATGACACCCCACTTTCTAATCCATCGCGTTATGAGACAACAAAATCTTGGGTTCTGTTTTGAAAGTAGCTTTCCAACTATTATCTCGATCCCAATAACAAAAAAGCCACAAAGTTAGATTAATTGTTTTATTTTATTTTTGCTTTTGAAAGGGTTATTCCAAGACCTCATGGATTTTCAATGGCCAATTTACATGAAACTATGTAAGCAATTTTTTTTTTTTGTCAAATATATAAGCAATTAAGATATGTAAAAGAGAAATAATTTGCCCAGACAATATTTTTTGCTTTATGCATACTTCTATATATTTTGACATTTAGATAGGCAAAAGAGAGTCGAATACAGAAACAAACAAAAATGTGGAAAAATCATTTTTCTGTAAAATAGCAAATGTGTATGGTTCAATCTCTACTTAAACCAGTTCATAATCTTCAACTTTTCCTACTTAGTGTTGGAATTTATTAGTTTATTTAGAAAATTAATTAGAGATTTGATTTTGATTTGTATTGGTATATTTTGGTATTTATGCATTAGGTTTCTTAAGTTTATGTCACTATAATTATAATTGTACTTTAGTTTGAGTAGTAAGTCAATCAAGATGTTCTCAATTTGTAGTCATCTCGCCATTCTTCATTATAAATAATATTCATAGTCTCGTAATAATTGTTCTTTTGTTATGCGTACTTCGATTTTCAACTAGCTAACTTCATTCACTAGCTAGATTAGAAGCTCCTAATTAAGAAAATCCCATCACGATGTCAAGAATGTGTTTTTTTTGTTGATGAAGCTTTTGAAAATAAAAGGATAATGTTAGAGAAATTATTTATTTAAATTATATTTTGTAAAACACATGAGGAATTGTTGATGATTGAATTCTTATTTAAATATTAATTAACGTGCTTAAATTATATTGTTGACAAAGCACGCAATTTATAGATATGATAATAATAATAATAATAATAATATAGCTTTTAATACATTGGGCCCTTTTATATTATTTATGGGATCGGGAAATTATTCAAATTAAAATGGCGGTGACAATTTCAAATGATTTTCTAAGTGAACAACTAATATGATTAATTAATCACTTTATCTAAGTGGTACGAACGTTAATCATTGTAAATCTAAGAGCTACAAATCTACTCAATTATTTTTACTTTTACTAGCTACAATAACCATGAATTAATCATGATTAACAATTCGATGGATCGATCGACCTTTTGCCGTAATGATTGCGGATCAGTATTGACATGGGCGTTGGAAAGTTTAACGGAGGTGAATGCATATATAGGTTTGTTTGACATTTAAAATGACTAAAAAAGTTTTGATGAAAATATTTTTGAAATTAATTTTTAATAAAAATATAAGTAAATTATGAAAAAGTATGTGAAGTACTTCCTGAAAGAAGCACATAATTAGTGCTTATTGCCAGAAGCACTCAAATGCTTTTAGAACTCAAAAATATTTTTTCTAAAAGAACTTTCAATCATTTTAATTTATCATATATCTAAAGGTGACCTCAATTCAACACTGCTTTGTAAGAGTTGAGGGGAATATCTATTGTATGCAGCTTTATTTTTACTTTGCAAGGAGTCTGTTTCCACGACTCGAATCCGTGATCTTTCAGTAAATAAGGAGCAACATTTCCGTTGTGCTCGCCCTCGTTTTAGTGTATATGTGTGTGTATGTGTGTGTATATATATATATGTAGAAGTCTAATTATTTATGTGATTGGTTTGCGTCACGAATAATAATTGGCGGTGTCCAATCACTTTTTGAATCCTCAGGAGCAAATAATTTACGGCAATGTTTAAATATATAAGAGTAGAGGTTGTTCAGCAATAAGACTACAAAATGCATGACATACGTATAGTATTTGCAATATATTAATTTAATTCTGGAACAATATTTTATACCTCAGCGATGTCTGTCTATCGTCGCTTCTGTCGTTGTTGTATTGCTATTTCTTATTGGTTAGATCTTTTCTTCGCGTTCATTTGGGTTTTTCTGTATCACCATACAACACTACCGGCATGTAGTTTTATCATTCATTCGTGTTGTAACATATTCATTAACTGCATTATATATTATGTTAATGAAATATCAACTATATTAACTATCTCATCCCCTTGTATATAACGCACGGATTAAAAATACCAGTTAAAAAATTCTGTCCAGTTGGAGGTGGGTTAGTGTGAGATCGTTTGGACATATCTAGTTTACATTGCACTTAAAGATTACAGCCATATAATTAATTAATCCTATTCAGTATATGTTTACAAACATGTAATTTGACTTCAGCGTTGATTGATTGACAAAAGCTCACTAAACATGTATTTTGGCCAAATAGCTGTAATCACACGCGTGTACTAGCTAATACAATATTTGGTTCGGTAGCTACGTCCAACCGATATCTAATTAATCAGATTATTAGATTTAAGGCAATAAGTATTGTTAATTTGGGCCATGCATATCCCCTAAGCAAGTAATCACTACAAGAAAACAACACATCTATCACGACAATTTTACCACGGACTTTATGAGCTTGTTGTAAAAATAAAATTTTACCACGGGCATAATAAGCACGTTATAAAAGTTAATTTTTCATTACAGACAAATCTTAGCCCGTTGTAAAATAACAGTGAATGACCACGCGCACAGTTGCATGTTGTAAATATACTAAGCCACCACGGACAATACTCATGGTCAATATTGTTAGTTCTATAACGCATTTTTGTTATCAACCACATACATAATGTGTGGTATAATCATACACATAATGAAAAATATTTAGAAAATGCGGGACACCAAATTTTTGGGAAATTTCAAACATCTTTGAGATTTGAAAATTTCACAAACTCTTTAAATCTCCAATCGCTCCTTTTTATTTCTAATCAAAATCCTATGGCACCAGGGATCCGATCCAAATTAAATTGAATCGCCAAATGGGAAAAAAAAAAGGGCTCACAAGAGAGAAAATGGTGGGTTCCTCTTTCTTTCTTTATCCTTTTTTTTTCTTTCATCCCTTACACTTTATTTCCTCTCATGCCTGGTTTTTCCTAAACCTCATGAGTTTTGGTAATGGTTACTGTAGGGGCAAGAACAGCAGCTCATCACTAAATGGGAAGGCTCTGTTGATTGGAGAAGCCGACCTGCAATCAGAGGTCGCCATGGCGGCATGCTTGCCTCCTCCTTTGTGCTGGGTATGTGTCTCCCTTGTGCTGCAATCAGAGATCACCATGGCGGTATGCATGCATCGATCCAACATATCATAAGTTATACCAAATAACAAATATAGGGTTATCTAAATTTTACATGAAATGTTAGCCACTTGAGTGCATCAATGGGTGGACTTTTTTATGTCTTAAAGAACTGAAACTTGCAGATTAATTCTTACTTCAGTAGAGTTCGAAAAAGGAATTAAACATTATAAAGTATGGAAGCAGTTTGGGTTGCAAAATACGTGAGTTCGGGGAAAGAGACATTATTGTGATGAGGAAAACGTGGAGCAGTTATGTATTTGGAGATAAAGGCAGAGAGAAAAGGGGGAGAAGAAGGGAGACGTGCGGTTTCCCTCCTTTTACATTTCATTTATTTTATTTTGTGTTTTACATATTTATTCATAATCATAATCTATTTAAATTGAAGTGAAGTGATTCTTACCACAATTTTCTGCAATTTTGGTTGACAAAGAACCTTCTGTTAATAAATAGTATAAATTTTCCTAATTATCATATTGATTTCTTTTTCAATTTTGGTTATTCTGTAATTTATTATATTGTAATAAATATGAAATTTTGTTGGTTATTTAGTATATAAATATTTAAATAGATATTTTTTTTATTTGTGGAAATTTTTTTATAACGGGCATTAACCGTGGTCAATAAATAATTCACAACGGTCGTAACACGTGATGTTAAATTCCAATCTATCACGGGCACAATCCGTGGTTACATTATGTTTGACAACGGGCATAGCCTGTGGTAGAAACTAAGATTTTTTATCACATCCAGATTACTAACGGCCATAGTGCCCGTGGTGGATTACAATTTATCACGAGCATTCACCGTGATAGATGAGCTTTTTTCTTCTAGTGAATATAGAGTTTACACAACTTTTGACCTACGTTTTTGTGGAATTCACTTCGTAATGTTTTTAACAATTCAAACTGTTTATCTTTTAAGTCTTCTCTCTAAAATCATGTCTACTAAAAATCACTCAAATCTGAAACCATATAATCTTTGCATTGAGGAGTTCAAGTTTCTTTGTAGAATCGCATTTGTATATTTTCTTTACTACAAATAAATGTCTTAATGGTTTTGAATTTGTCAAATTTTTTTTGAAAAAAATATTTATGAATAATATTCTATAAAATAAATGGCATAGATCGTTAAAATACATAATGGATCCGCCCCCATTAGATATATAGTATAATCCTCTTTTATTATTATTTTTTCTGGCTAGTTCTTGCGTAGGACATGGATATTCATATATAATTGGCTACGTACATATAACTGTTTAACTGCAACCCACGTCGACATGTAGATATTGGATTTGAACGTAGACAGAAACTCAAAGGTTGGAACGTACAACATATATACATGTATAAATCGAGAACAACTATTATGGTACGAGAGGTCTATCAGCATGAATAGCAATACCAAAGGGTGGTCTCATACCAATGAGTCTCTCCATTTTACGAGGATCAGAAAAGAACGTCTATTGTATGCAGTTTTCTCATCGTACACTAGCACTGAACAGCACGTTGTTAGTATACTCGTGCCATGAAAGTCCTCATCGCATGGACAAGCCAAGCCAAATACAGTCCTTTATCATGTGATGGGTTGGCTTTAGCAGATCGTACGCACATTAAAAAAGAGACTCACATGCATGCATGGCTGCAGTTTCATATTTCAAAGTTTAAGTATAACTTTATAAAAGGAAAACAAACAAAAAAATGCGGAGAAAATTCAAATAAAGATATAATTAACTAAATACGTACCCATGCAAAAGTCCCATCATCCGCAAGCATAGCTGAAAATTGACCAAAAAGCAAGCTTAGCTAAATAGCACTTGCAGAACGTACGGTTGAGATTTGGCGTTCATATCTGTTTTGTTACACTTTTCTCGCTCCTGGGTTACTCTATTGAGTAACCTTTAACCTTTTTAAAGAACTTTTATAAAACAAAAACTTTTAAAGATCAAAAGTAAGAGAATATACCTTTTAAATTTTGAATATTTGAAATCTTAAACTCGAGCCACGTATATATACATGATTCTTGAATTCGAAATGGACCTCTATCTCCATGCAATCCTATATATATATATGAGAGAAGAGTATTATATTCAGGAGGTTTTGTGCTACGGGCAACTCTTATATCAAATGAGAACCAGCATCATATGAAATGAAAATACCGAAAGTCTTATCTTTTTATTTTTTGTGAGAGGTTCTCTACTGATGATGTGAAACGCCTCAACACAAGTTTTATCCGATGCATTTATTGAAATTTGTCTAGTATGAACCAGCCCATAACATTCACTGTGATTATAATCATTGAATCTTAAACTAACAAGATAAATGTGAAGGGGACTCATCACTCAAAAGCGAGACTCTCCATAAATTATATATCACTTCATATTTTTTACACAATATTTTATAATATAAACATAAAAATTAACGTTAAACTATTTTTGGTTTTACAAGAGTCTCATTTCTCAACTAAAAGTCCATTGAAAAGATTCAACAGTCAGACATTCCGCTTCCTGCTACGACCGGGTCAATTCTATTGCTTTCGCATCTACTAATCTACTTTGTTTACTACCAATCAGAAATGGTAGGTTGATGACACGTCATAATCCTATCACCTTTGAAGCAGGCCATGTTCAATGACCAAAATGACCATCAATTGCTTTGGAAATATGAAAAACACCCCTTCGTTGTGATCCACACCATGTGCCCGTAAATATAAGAATTTTGGTTCATGTCGGGTCCTTGTCAAGTAGAACACGGCCAGTGTGCCCACCCGTGATAGTTAGGGTAGTGTGGTCATTTCGCTCATTAGGGCGGCTAATTGTGTAGTGGCAATCCTGTGGTTTTGGCTCATTGAATGTGACTTTTTGGGAACAAAAAGATTCTTTTGTTAATAAATCTCCTCACAAACAGACAAAAGTCTTGGCGAGAAGCCCTTGTCTGCCACTGCCAGAATAGTATGGAAATAGACCAAATTGTTAAACTATTACGATAATTAGACATAAATGGGACCCCTCGATTTCCCAAAAATAACCAAATTGCCTATTTAGGGTTCTTTCCTTAAAAACGACGAGTTACTATTCTGTAATTTAATTTAGCGAATTAGCTAGATATAATGATATGTATTGCTCCTCGGTGTAAAGTATGTTCTATGCAAGAGGCTTCCAATTGATTAGATCGTTCAATCTTGAACTCAGGTCTCAAATTCGACTCTCTCAAAATATTGTTTCTTAAAAAAAATTAAAAAAAAACTTTCTAGTCTTGTAAATTTCATAGGGTTTGCCTTTGGAAAGTGTCGTTCAACCCTTAGTTTTGGGTTCCTAGTGGTGGTGGTGGGCTACGACAGTGTCTTCGATGGCTCTAGCCTGGCAACCTCTTTGCCACACATGTCGTTGCTGTTGTTTGTGTTAAAACTGTAACCCACGCCGGACGATGGAAACTTTGACGGCTCTTGGTGCTAACAAATCTTGTGTAGGCTTATGGGTTTGTGGTGGCGCTACGACGATGATAGTAGTTCGGGCTGAGAATCCCCTTAGCCACACTATTTGTCAACTCTGTACCCGCCTTTCTTACATGGACACATCATCGGCACTAATTTTATTATTTTTAGTTTAGTTTATGTTTTGTTTATATCGCATAAAGCGGGTTAAGCACTAGATGTCGTTTGTGTCACAACGTTGATTTATGTGGTCTCATTATTTGCGATAGCTTTTTGTGAGGGTTCCATTACTAGGTTTGTTGCGTATATCATTCTTGTGATAAATCTGTGTTGGATTTACTAGTTCTAGTGGTATGTGTGGGGCTTTATATAAGAGTTTAAAGTCATTTGTGTTTTGTGCAAATGACCTCTAAATTAAAAAATTGATCACTAAAGAAATATATCCATCTAACACGTCTTGTAATTAATGAAACGCTCTATTGATTCTGTCAAAATGCCACTTTTGTTTTATTTTCAACATATACTAAAGATATATCTTAAAATAATTAGCTTGAAATATTAAAATAGAAGGGTAATATCAATAAAACCTACAAAGTAAGGGGCATATCTATAATCTACATCAAAGATAACAGTGTCATGAACCAAAAATATAATATTATAAATTTACTACAATACAAGGCCAAAGAAGACCTGGTTCTTGTGTTCATATCATGCCAACAAAAACTCTCTCTTCACCACAATTGGAGGAGAATTTTCTGGGTTTTGTCTACCTATAGACTTACAACAGATCCCTTATTTTCTGTTCAATTTCTCATTAATTTAATCAATTTTTGAAGTAGTAGCTATAGAGAGAGAGAGTGAGAGAGCACCAAGAACAAGATAAGTGGGGAAAGAAACAAATAAGGAGAGTCTGGAAGTAAGACAAACGAGTGAGAAAAAAAATCTATCTTCCTTTTATCTTTATCTTCCTTCAATGTCAATTATCACAGGTAGTGCTGCTACTGGGAGTTTCTCTTCAGGAAATACAGGTGGAGAAGAAGTTCAACAGCAACAACAAGAGCTATTAAATCACCATGCAAACTTTCATGGCTCCAACTCCCTCCTTCCAACAACACCTAATATCAATAGCAATGGTATTTCCACTACTCAAGTACAAAAGCAACCTCCACCAGCTAAGAAGAAAAGAAACCTACCAGGAACTCCAGGTAGATCATTAGTTCAAAACTTCTTACTTTTCTGTTGACGTTCACCAATTTAGTCTGCTTGTCAGCCGCAGACCGGACCTGATGTGTAGTCTGGCTCGTCTAATAAACACAAATCAAGTTTTTTCTCTTTCGGTTGTAATTAATCTTTCTTTATAAAGTTCTTTCCCTCAAAAAGAGATGGTCATTATTTTGAAGTCATTTTATCTTTGAAATACATTTAAAAAAAAAAAATTGATGTTGGAGAGATTTGATTGAAATTTTGTGCACATATATATGCTTAATTGAGCTTGATAGATATTTAAAAACTTTCAATTCATGTTTTTCTTATCTTCTAATTATTACCTTGAATTAGTCTATGAGTAATTAACTTCTTTCTATGTGTCCTTTTGGTCAAAATATGCATGCTTGCATATATTTAATTGTTTCAAATTTTTAGTTCTTAGATAGCTAGCTAGCTAGCTTCAAACAGATTTGATTCAGTTCTTGAAGGAGAGCCGTGGATTATTTGTTTTCCAGACAAAAAAAATATTGCTGGGGTCAGAAAGCATGAACCATATGTATTATTGATATCTCTAAGTAGTTTAAAAGGGGTTCAATTATTGGCTTGATGTTTCACAATTATTGGAGTAAATTATATACTATTGGCTTGCCTTGACTATGGTCTCCTTCCTTTGTTTCCTTATTCTGTGTGCTCAACTATTTCAAGTAAAAGATCTTCATATATCCATTCCAATTGTTCATGAAACATCTTATTTCCCTTTCTCTCACACGAGATAAGAATCTGTCTTGTAATCGAGTGTTTACAGCTGGCCAAAAAACGACATATTCTCTCACCCTCTTGAGATAGTATTTTCAAATTGTAGTAGACAAGTGTTGTTGGATAGTAGTTTTACGTTTCCTCTAATGACTATCCACAATAAAATGCTCCAAATTTCTTAATGAATTTAAACTTCCAAATACTAATTTAATTAATATTGAAACATATGTACTAGTTGTTGAAAAATCCATGTAAATGCAGACCCAACTGCTGAAGTGATAGCCTTGTCACCAAAGACCCTGATGGCCACAAACCGGTTTGTATGTGAAATTTGTAAGAAGGGGTTCCAAAGGGACCAAAACCTCCAACTCCACAGAAGAGGTCACAACTTGCCATGGAAGCTTAAGCAAAGAACGAGCACTGAGATCATTAAGCGAGTCTATATCTGCCCCGAATCCTCCTGCGTCCACCACGATCCATCGCGGGCACTCGGGGATCTTACGGGCATCAAAAAGCACTTTTTCCGGAAGCACGGCGAGAAAACCTGGAAATGTGACAAGTGCTCCAAGAAATACGCGGTGCAATCGGACTGGAAAGCTCATCTAAAGACCTGTGGTACTAGAGAATACAAATGTGACTGTGGAACCATCTTCTCCAGGTAATTAAATTAATATTCTAGAAAATATGAGTTTATTATAAAAAATTTATACTACTGTCTATATAATTATACAATTTGAACAACTACGCTGACAAATGTTTTGTATAGATATGTTGTGCTGCTTGTCCATGCATGAACATTTAAAATTAATATACACACACACACACACACATATATATATATATATATATATATTTAATATTGACAACTTGACTGAAACTAATCTTTCCAAAATTTATTATCGAAAGTCCTAATCATTCTTATTTAACAAACATTTGTTATTAAACCTTCTATGCAATAGAATAAATGTATATGGTGCTTAATACATTAATCTTATTTAACTTTGTCTGTCTATACACGCCGGCCACTAATCAAGAGACTTATATATTTAGTTTTTTTTTTTTTCCCCCTTAACCAGTAAGATTTTTTGGTTTATAATAATAATAATAATTACTGTGACGGCACTCAGTTTCCACTTTGTTTAATACTTTTGAATTCGAGTCTCATAAACTTTATACAGTTTAGCTTACGAGAACTATTGGATATCCATTGTGCAGAAGAGATAGCTTCATCACCCACAGAGCTTTTTGTGATGCCATAGCTGAAGAGAACAACAGAAACCAAGGAGTAGTACCAATGTCCAACAATATTATGGGAGCACCAAACCAAGGCCAACTTTCCAACAGTGAGCTCATCATCCCGGCATCACCGCCCATGAACAACAAAATCACCGACAACCCATCGTCAGCAAGATCAGATACTACTACATCTGATCAATTTCATCATAATTTTGATGCCAAAAATGCCCCTTTAACCCTAGAACCCCAACAACCCTTCCCAATGCCCACAAAACCCGTAAACATGTTACCGAGAACCCTAAGCAACAACACTTCATCATCAACATCACCATCGTCACTACTGTTCGGATTAAACCACGGCGGGCACGGTCAATCACTCATCCCCAACTCATCAGGCCATTTATCCGCCACGCAACTGCTACAAAAAGCGGCTCAAATGGGTGCAACTATGAGTGGTGGTCCCAACCCTAACCCTAGTGGTACAACCATAACAAGCATGGCACCCTCAACCTATGGTACAGCTACTGGTGGGTACAACATGAACCCCTTCATGCAGCAGAGAGATCCTAATAACATTCTGCAATTAGAGACCTCGCCGCAGTTTTTTGGCGCTAATTATGCGCAAATGGGGATGTTTAGCGGGATGTTATTCGATCATGCTCAGAACAATGGTTTGTTGAAGAACATGGAGCATGAAAATAATGGGACTTCAAATAAAATAGGGTTCAGGGGTGCTAGTAATGTGAGTAACGGTGATACGTTGACCGTTGACTTTTTAGGGCTTGGAGGATCGGGTAATAATAATAGACCAGAAAACTTTCATGATCTGCAGAAACAACAACATGGCCAGCAAGATCAGCTGGGGTTCGGAGGAATTGATGATCATGATGATCACCTAAGAATGCAAAGATTTGGATGATCATGATCAGTTGGTCATGGATGAATGAGAAGCGTGGTTAATTAAGTGTAGTTTTTTAGTTTTACTATCTGCATTAGCTAGGTTTTCACATGTTATGATCTCCGGTGACAATTTTTAGTTTCAGCAAACAGAAATGAACTGTTTCGGTCGATCTTCTTTAAGATTTTTTTTTTCTCCTATTAATTTTAGGACTTTATTTCAAGGTTCTTCGACGTTACTATAGATCTTTTATTATTGAATTAGAAATAGGAATAGGGCAATTATTTGATAATATTTCCTTCTTCTTTCTTTTTCCCCAGTCTCGTTCTTTTTTTCAAATGCCAAAGTAATTAACGTTTGTAAGGGAGCCAAAATTATTAGTTTCGGAATTCTTTGTATTTAACTTTTTATGTAGCATATGTGTGGAGTGTGGTACAAGAAATTTTCCATGAGAAGACGTTTTAGAAATGACTCATTGAGTACTTAGCTTAATGACGCTATGGAGTTAGGTTTTCAAATTTATTCCTTTAAAAATAAGTTATATGGAAGTGTGATATTTCATCTAGTTAAAGTTTTATTTTTTTTTATTTTTTTAAACAAGCGATATTATCTATACTAAGGGGATGGGAGAGTGAGCTAAACCTCACAATAGGCTAGTAATAATGTGGTTCAAATTCGCCTTGACGAGAATCGAACCTAAGAGTAGACCGTAATAATAAGTGGCAGTTAAAGTTATACTATGTGTCAATCAAATAGATAAAAATTAAAGGAAAAAAAAACATGACGATAGACAGTTTAACTTAATAACTTTACTTAAACTATGCAACATATATGCTTGTTCAAAAATCCATACCCCTTCATCAAAATAAGTACAACTGAGGAGTAAGTAATTAGGGTTAGCTCAGTGAAGATGTTGAGTTAGATATGAAGGGCGGACGAGTTATTCCATCGCCACCACTCGTTTGGACAATTGTCGGCATTGCCACACTACTTTCATGCATGCAAACATATATGCCTCAACCAGATATATGCATAATCACACTGTCCTCCGGCTGCCGGAAATAGGGTTTGCGAGAGGTAACAATAATCCGGGCAGAAAGGCCCCCTGCGGACCAATTTGCTTCACTACAATCCGGGTTTAGGCGGCAGCTTCCTGTCGGTTTAGGGAGAGCTTCTGTGGTTGTTCTTGGTGCTGATTTTCTTGGAGTCACAAGTTTCTTTCTCGGGTTGTCGCCGGAAAGTAGTAGGAGTCAAGCTGATTTTCTTGGGTTATCCCATAGGAGGCTACAGTAGGTGCATTGTCAGTTCTCTCTTATATCCTACCACGTTTGATATAATTTTGTCAATATTGTGTGTCTGGATGGCATCGCCTTAATTTTGGTTTTAGATAAATTGATGAAATAATTTTATTTGAATGAATTTGGACGTGACAAAATTTATATACCCAGCAAGTTGGGTTGGAGATCAAACACTTTTGTATCGAGCAGCTGAGAAATTATTTTTTATTTTTTTATTTTATGAAAGATCACTTGATCCTCCTCCTCTGAATTTTAATGCCAAATTTAGGACTGATGGACGGCCACGAAATGTCAGTGAACCCGTTGTCGCATTCGGCCCGCCTGCCACCACCGGAGAGTGCAATGTTAGCGTCATTGTGTCGCCAGTTGCTCTTGATTTCAAGTAAGCAAGTGTAAGAAGGTTATGGCTTCTGCAGTTTCTTGGCATTTCGATATGCAGCTAATTGTTGACGTTTGTTTTTGGTCGGAATTGAAGCATTTGGAGGACCAAAAGAGGTAGGAGAAGCTGTGGTCAGGACCGTCACAGGATCCCGCAAACGCCCTGATATCAAGGGAACTTTGATCGAATCAAAATCGAGAGGATAGCGTGCGTAACGTTAAGTGCTACGAGCTTGAATTCAGAGTTGAGAGCCCTTTGTTTCACCAGCAAAACATCGCTGTATGTTGCTTTCGTTTTGGTCGGTTATTTACGCAATGCTCAGGCACCGGAATCAGCATGGCCGGAGGTGAAGTCAGACCAGCCATTCTCGTTCGGATCCAGCAGTACTCAGGTCGTCAATCACATAGTTACAGAAGAAAAGTTTGAACAAATGGCACGAGTGTTGGCATTTACCATCACTTTTTTCATTAACTAATGGCACAAGTGCTACATCGTTGTTCATAAAAAACCATCAGTGCAGAAGTTACAATATTGCATATAAGCAAATTTATACACCGAAAACTCATCAAGGCGTCTAGCCATCCCTCTAATGAGATTTTCTTCATCTAAACCATGGAGACGGATTCAAGCACAAGTTACCTGTCTTCGTTTCGTCATTTTCTCCAAATTTTCAGAAACTGCTGCGGTCAAATTTGGATCTTCAAATCCAAGTTCTGCACCAAGTCTGCAGCAGAAGCATAAAGTAAAATCCTTTCATATTTTGTCGAAAAAAGGCCATGTTTACGAAAGGAATTGACAAACCAAGCTTGGAAGGTCGGTTGATAATGCAGTCAATAAATTGAGGGAGTAAGGAAAGGGAGGGAAGTGTCCAGGTAAACATCAGCCTAGCCCATTGTCAACGCTCGGCTCCCCTACTTTATATGTTCGTATATGGAAAGGAAGAGAAATCCAATTCCTTTTTCTAGTTCAAATTGGAATCTACAGATGTTATATTATCTCCTGCCCTACACTGCCCTCAATCCATACACTTGAGGCAGCCCGATGACAGCGGAACACAATGCAAGCAGCCATCTTTTTATAGGTTTTGTGTTTCCTAATAGATAAGAACGAGTGATCGAACAGCAACAAAAGCAATAACTGTGGGTGGTGCTATTCACACACCCTTTCTATCTCCCACACACCCCCTCTATTTTTGTCCTTTGATCTTCTTCAATTCCTTCAATTCGACAGCCGGAAATTATGATGAGTGCGTGGAAGGTAAAAAGAGGTGTGTGGATAGCACCACCCTATAATGTTTGATTTGCTTACTTTGGATCGAGTACCAACTTCTGAATCTCTTTAATGGCTGAACTCGCCGCATAAAGTGATATCTTTCCTACCTGCATTAGAACCCAATCACGGAAATTGAGAAAACCAACAAAAGAAACAAGTCTGGATTAGCCGCCCACTGGACAAGATTGGGCACAACACTTCCAGAACTGATAAAAAACAAAAAAGGTAAAAGAAGGCACGGAATACTTCTAAGGAAAATTTCCCTTGTCCAACCTCCATCACTTGTAGCTTTGCTTCATGGTCATTTGGAAGACACCGAATTTCATCAGCTAGTTTTACAGCCTCACCGAGGCTTTCAGGAGATAAGAAATCAAGACCAAGCTGAACAGTTGACTGAAAAAAAAAAAAAACATAAAGATTATGACTTATTAGATTATATGCTAGAAATAAATGCACTAAAGATTTAGGATGTCTAATGTCTAGAGAAGGGAATAATAATCTTAAAAGTGCAAACGGAATCTCAAGCAACAGAGCCGGATTATTTTGCTATGTGACATCCTCGAAAGACCAAGAAATAAAATTAATACAGACGCAAGCAGAATTGTACGCTTTACATAAATTACTTGTCAAGTCAATCTATACCCTTCATATTTTCATTAAATAACCCGGAATTGGTACTTCAAAAATATTAATTTAGTTACAAAGAAAACCAACTGAAGATTCCTGACTTGAAAAGGGCATCCAGCGGGGATAAAAACAGCTTGCCCCAAATGTTGTTCAAAGGACCATGGCTCAATTGCTGATAAAACAGGAAGAAAAACAAAGAATAAAGTTCAGAATTTTTGAAACCTGAATGCTGAAAATCTCAAAGAATACCAAATATCCAAGATCACAGTCACATGCAGTACAAAAAGTAAAATGATGTACATTATCACTAAAGTATAGACCAGTAACCAGTTAGAAATGCAGGTCGCGGTGTGTAAACTGTAAAGTAATTTGCAGAACACGGGATTTACAAATGAAGTTCAAGCCAGAGTCAATTTGACTACAACTGTAAAAGCAAATTCAAAGAACACAGGTGTCCATTTACAAAACATGTGAATTCTTCAATTTGAACAGAAGTCATGATAAGTAGCCAGGATATCCAGTAAAAAACAGCAGCTGAGTAGACAGCTGCAGCTTGCCTGATATTTTCAAGATTTCTGCTAATTAAACCAAAAATGGTACACCAGAAATTGGTACAGTGGATGGCTACTAGCATAACTTCTTTTTTTTTTTTTTTTTTTTGAAAGGAAACGAAAACTACTAGCATAACAATCAACAGAACATTTCCTCTAAATCATCTTGGTGGAAATGTAAAATAAAAAACGAGGGGAGGGAGGGTGGGTGGGTGTTATCTCTACACAAAATAAATAAAAGGGAAATAGTTAAGTCATCCTTACCAAATTCTTCCTTCAATTTTCTTTTATGATCCCCATTCAGGAACAATGTCCCATCATAAAAAGGCGACGTTACCTGATATACAAAACGTACGATCTGTTACTAGCATGGTATGCAAGCCAACTCTGTTGAATCAATTTGGGGAAAGGTAAAGGTACAAAGACTTCACAGATAAACTTACAAAAATATTTGTTTCATTGAGCTTCCCAATTTCTTGCCAATATATTCTCAAATACTCAGTCAGCTTTTGAACATCCTGTCGACGGAAAACATCCCAAAGAACTCCCAGATGAGTTTTTTCTGAGACATCTACCCCGTCTCTCTCTGACTGTTCACAGTTGGCGGTGTCCTCTTCAATCATAGGAGTAGTTTCATGCCCATGATCTGCCGTACTCTCATCTTCATCTGAGGCCAACCTTGCCCCATACTCATTCTCCACATTCTGACCAAGAAGTGAGAGATCAGGCCTCGTATCCTCTCCCATAACCATTTGTAGATCCCCAGATGATTCTTTAACCTCAGATTCCTCAAAGGATTTTTGTGTCTTCTCAATCTTTGTCTTCTGCAAACCTTTTAGCTTTACCTCACATGCATGCACCAGCAGGTATACCTAAGCTTAGCAGCTTAATGGGTGAAAATATGTTTATTTGAAACAGATAAAAATTTAGTTCATGAAACATGCAAATCAAATGTTCATCCATATCAAAACATTCCAACTCCAAAGATTGGAAAAAACAAAAAAAAAAAAACAAAGTCATAAGTTTAATATCTAAAATATAATGTTGCACCAAAACTTATGCACAAAATTGCCTACTATTAGCTAAAAGTTCTGACATGGATACATCATTGCACCAAAAATGTTTTTCACTGAATGATCATTGAAAATTTATCCCTGTCTTATGTGCGCGCGTGTAAATGACAATGTACACACACATGTAGAGAACGTTTCACTTGCACAGCATAAAAGCATTACTCTCCCCTTGACAGAGTTGATCACATTTACTTCACTCTGTGGTCAACTCCATCAACAGCCCATGGTGGTACTGTCAGCCCTTTATTTAAATATATATTGTCTTACATCAAACAAATGAATAACAAAATTAATAGCCATGTTTGCAGAGCAAAAACAATAACTAAATTAGAATAAGCGATTCTCAACTATCAACATCAATGGTGATAAGTCAACAAGAACGGAGAAACAACTAACCATGTCACGCATGTTGAAATGGAGATTGATACAGAGTTGTGTCTACCAAGCTCCTCACAGGTCCCATAAGAAATAAAAATCTTAGGTCCAACCTCGTTTTGCAAAGAATAGTGTGGCAGTTTTGCAGCAACATTTAAAAGACCAAACTTGGAGTGAATATACTCAAGTAAAGGCAGTTTGCTGATAAATTCAGGTCTCTGATATAATAAGAACTCTTCAGATGCACTAGGGGAAGGCCAGTCTATGAGTTTCAACATTTCTGGCATACCATTTTCATTAATTCTTCCCTTGGAGTAACCTTTCATGAATTGACTAAGTTCAATATCAACCTGCCATCATGTCAAAGCACAGAGGTTTAGTTTAGGTTTATAACACTATATATTACAAATCAACTAATGGATTATTTCATTACAACAAGAGTTGGTTATAAACAGCTGATACATAATATAAGAAAGAAAGGCCATAGAGGTAAATACAAGAAATAGCTGTTAGATCGAACCTCAGACCAGTCAAAGCAATTTATGGCCTTCACCCTTCTGTTCTCATCCTTTAATTTCTCATCTGCTGTCTCCCAAATCCCTCTCCAGATAATCATTGGATCCCAGTTTGAAATTGAAGAGCTATCAAACACCTTCTTAATAACGATGGGCTCACCCCTAAGCCAATGCCCTTTAAAATTGTCAATCCCATCAGATTTGATATCTTCAGATGAAGTGCAGTACAAGAAATTATCGCTATCCTCTCTATGAGCATACTGGCTAAGTCTTGGATCATTGAGCCCAGTTTTCCCTAGACTGACAGCATCATTAACTCTACAGCCACTAACCATTTCCTCTGCATTTTTTACTAGTTTTGCAACCCAGTTCATCTTAAAGATACGGCTTAAGTTCAACGATGAATGGCCACAGCCACCATACTCCTTTGGAGGGCAAGGGATACTTCCATCACCGTTGGCTTTCCAGTTGGAAAATATGTCTGCTAAATTTAGTCTGACTTTGGACAATTTTGGCTGCTCCAACTTGGTTTCTTCTTCTCGACTATCCTCGCCAATCTGATTCTCTACCACCTCTCCTTTAACACCAGGCATGGATGCTTCTCAAAGATCTTGACAGCAGTTAAGGCATAGATCATATGTGCAGCGGGAACAGTGCCAATGATAATCAGATGGGAATCCTACAGAAATGGCTGCATAAAACCAATCAAAAGGAAATGTTCTTCAGAACAGGAAGAAATATTTGTGACAGTACAGCTGCCATAAATAGACCTAGAATTGCAGACACGGCCACAAAAATTAATTAAAACAAAAACTAATTATCTACAGAAACATCACGTTTTCTTCAGTTTGAGGAGAAACTGGTGTTTGGGTTAGTTTATTATCCCCTTACAACAAATATGACAACAACGTCAAGCTCTTTCAGTTTCAGGGGAATCTGGATTTTGGATCGGTTTATTTTTTGAAAAACATGACAGAAACATAGTTCCTTCAAATTCAGGAGAATATGGAGTTTGGCTCAGTTTATTTATGACAAACATGGCTGAACTCTGTAGGACCACATGTGAGTGGGCCCTACCACAATTTAAAATGTTTACTTGTTTATTATACATACTTTGTTGTTAAGAACTTAATTCTACAATATAAAGGGGTACAGGAATTGAATTACCAGCACATTTGCTCATCTGCATTCAATTTTGTCCGGGCAAGATCTATATCTGTTCCTGCGAAATACATATGCAAACAAAATGGTCAAACAATGTACAAAAGACATCCAAAGATACTGAACTCAAAATGCCATGAACACATTAGAGCATCTTACCACGAAGCTTTTTTTTCCAGTTCAACTTCAAAGCACTGTACTTGATGGATTTGTTTAACTAAAGGAAGCACTGAAGACAGCAGACAGTGGAGATATTTTAACTTATCTAGCACTGGGATCTCTCTTATCCTTACCTGCAAAACAGAAACATCAGAAATACTCATTCACCTAAGCTGATCATGTAGCTAGTTGAAGACTCCTTTATATGAATTACCTTTACCAAATTATCTCTACGTAGGCACACTTTGCAATTACAAGTGCCACGACATGCAGGACAGGACCTCTGAATGTCTTCTAATGGGATGTCCGAGTACCTAAAAAATTAAAGCATGAATACACAATATGGACATGAAACTGAATCACTTAAGCATATGTGTATTGTGTCTTTTCAAGACACTCAACCTCACCATGTCAAAATACAGCTGTCACAGTATCCTCTTCTATCACATTTGAGGCACCAAATGACTGTGTCTCTGTCATTCCTCCGACACTGATGGCAAGTTTGGCCACCAGTTTCTTCAGAGGATTCAGAGCTTCCATCAGAGTCTTCCTACAAGAAAAAGGTTTGCCTCAGTATTATAAAACGTAAAAGCAGCGATTATCCAATTTCAAATCAAAACATACAGCTGCACTAATGATAAGCAGACTAGCAAATGGGACATTTCAGTCTTTACTCTTGAATGTATATGTTGATGAACTATAATCTAACTATCTACTCGACACTGAAATGTACTTATAAAAATGTACCCACAAGTAGAACTGACTACTCAAGCACACTTGTTTTACAAAACATTATTACCCTGTATGGCTCTCTTTGTCATGCATCAGTATGGAAACCATACTAGCAACAAAAGATAGCAAGATCAACTTATAAAACTAACAGATGCAGCTAAGACATTGTAAAACGAACATACCGAAACTGTCATAGCATTAACATCAAAACTCCTCTGTGGTCTGTTCCTGGATGAGTCCAAAGCAGAAGCAAGCGGTGACTTGTTACTATTTGACCTCCAATTTTCTTCATACTCCTCCAAATCTATATCTTCCATCAATTTTGAAGGATTACGCACGGATGAACCCTTCACAGGTGGTCTATCAAGTGAATAACGAAAATGATTTTTTGATACCTTCTCCATGTACTTTCTCTCCTGTGACTTCACGCTTGCAAGTGGTACATCAAGATCATCACTCTTGCTCTCCAAGAAAATATCACTTTCACCTAACGACCTCCTCTTGGCTTTTTTCAAATTTGCCCGCATTGCAGAATTAGCTGCCCTTTTCTTTGCCTGGATGTAATGTTTTTCACATACCGTTTTATCTGGCATAGACATGGCAGTGCACCTCCACTGTTTCCCATCTGACCTCTTGCATCACAAATCATCCGGAATTCTGACATTGTCCTCGCCATTCCCAAGCTCCAAACGTGATTGATCCATTACATTGAACTCTTCACGGTTCTTTTACACCACTTATGGTGTTATGCTCGCAAGACCTACCAACAAAAAATCCCTTTAATCAATGTAATTCCATCAAAGAGTGTCTCAAAGAATTAGACATAGGCTAGCTTGCAACAATGTTGGTCAACTCACATAGATATTAGCAACGCACGAGTGGAGTCACGGTGCCTATGACAAAATTAAAGTTTCACCTATATAAATTCTAAAGCAACAAACTACTCTACTAAGCTCCTAAAAGCATAACAGGTTGCGTGAATTCTAATACAGTCTTGTCCAATCTAGTACATCGGTTCGGAGTTATAAAGCCTGGCAATAAAATTGTCACCATTGATGCCAGGGCATAGAAATTAAGTGAAACAACAGTATCTCACTTCCCCTCACTAAGTTAATGACCCAGATCAATGTTTTCAAAAACGAGCCTTGAGGCGCACCTAGGCAGCCTTCGAGGCAGGGCGGTGAGGAAAACGTCTCTGCCCAGCGGGAGCGGGCTTAAAGTCGCCTAGGCTTGGTCGAGGCGCACCTAGGCGCCTGAGGTGTCAGCTGGGACGGTTTTTTTTTTTGTTCATTGAGCATAGATTGAGGCAAGAGACACAGGTTTCGGACAACCAATTCGGGTTCATGCCAGGGCGCTCAACCATGGAGGCAATCTATCTCTTACGAAGATTGATGGAAAGATATAGAGATGGGAAAAAGGATTTACACATGGTCTTTATAGATTTGGAAAAAGCGTATGATAGGGTCCCAAGAGACATTCTTTGGAGGATTTTAGAGAAGAAAGGAGTACGAGTAGCATATATCCAAGCTATAAAGGATATGTATGAAGGAGCAAAGACTGCCGTAAGAACTCATGAAGGACAAACCGAAAGCTTTCCCATAACTGTAGGATTACATCAAGGCTCATCCTTAAGTCCTTACCTTTTTGCGTTGGTAATGGATGAGTTAACAGGACATATTCAAGATGATATTCCTTGGTGTATGCTTTTCGCAGACGATATAGTGTTGATAGATGAAACTCAGGAAGGGGTAAATGCAAAGCTTAACCTTTGGAGAGAAGTGTTGGAATCTAAAGGTCTTCGCCTAAGCCGATCAAAGACAGAATATATGGAGTGCAAGTTCAGTGCAAATGGAGGCCAAAACGAGTTAGGGGTGAGGATCGGAGATCAAGAAATACCAAAGAGCGACCGTTTTCGTTACCTAGGATCTATCTTGCAAAAGAACGGAGAATTAGATGGAGATCTCAACCATAGAATACAAGCTGGATGGATGAAGTGGAAGAGTGCATCCGGCGTGTTGTGTGACCGCCGTATGCCACTGAAGCTCAAGGGAAAATTTTATAGGACGGCAATAAGGCCGGCGATGCTGTATGGCACAGAATGTTGGGCGGTGAAACATCAACACGTACACAAAATGGGTGTAGCGGAGATGAGGATGCTTCGTTGGATGTGTGGGCACACGAGAAAGGATAAGATTAGGAATGAGGATATCCGGGGTAAAGTAGGAGTAGCCGAAATTGAAGGAAAGATGAGAGAAAATCGGTTACGGTGGTTTGGACATGTGCAAAGAAGGCCTACTGACGCTCCGATTAGAAGATGCGACTATGGGACAGAGGTTCAGGGCCGAAGGGGTAGAGGAAGACCTAGGAAAACTTTGGAAGAGACTCTAAGAAAAGACTTAGAGTACTTGGATCTAACGAAGGACATGACACAGGATCGAGCACAATGGCGTTCTAAGATTCATATAGCCGATCCCACTCAGTGACTTGGATTTTCCAAGTCTCCAACCGAGAAGTTTTCCTCACTCGGGAAATTAAGGGAACACTACCCCAACCTACATGCTCCACTCAGAAAGCTTCAACATACAAGCTTCAACAAAAGAAAATTCAAAGAACTTAGCGAAGAAGGCTTTGGTGTATTTAACACAATACGTTGAAATGAAGGAAAGCTTATTTATTGATATCCCCGATAAGCTACAAATATGTACATATACATGAGTCAAAATAAACACACAAGAGGGAGCCTTCACAAAGGTTGCTTAGGAGAAGTCTCAGCAGTCGGTAGAGCCCCAGAAAGAGAAGGCACCGGAGGGGGATCATTTGGAGCCTCAGTACTGGACAGAACCCTAGAAGGAGGAGGCATCAGAGGTTGATCATTTCGGAGCTTCATTACGCGGTACAGCCCCAGAAGACGAAGGCAATAAATGCCTTTGGAACAAACCCACAAATCTCTGATGATCAAGTAAAACCTGACCATCAGTTTCCTTCATCTGGTCAAGCTTCCTCTTCATGTTTGTAGCATAGTCATGTGCGAGCCGGTGCAACTGTTTATTCTCATGCTTGAGCCCTCTAATCTCCTGTTTGAGACTCATCACTTCAGCCGCCAATGATTCAACTTGGCGGGTTCGAGCAAATAGGCGTTGGGCCATATTAGACACAGAACCTGCACACTGAACACTGAGAGCCAGCGAATCCTTAACAGCTAACTCATCAGACCGTTTGGAAAGTAGTCTGTTATCTTTGGGAGTGAGAAGGTTCCTGGCCACCACCGCAGCGGTCATATCATTCTTCATCACGGAATCCCCAACGGTAAGAGGACCAGTAGGGGAGACGAAGGATGGGCGCCATATGTTGTCTGGAGAAGGCGGGGCTGCCTCTTCAACAAGGTTCAAGTCAAAACGACGGTCGGAGGGGCCAGACATTTTCAAAGGTGTTGAAGAGAGAAGAGGTCGGACAAATCAAGATCTTAGAAGTGCAAGAATGAAGCTTCTACTGGTGGAGATTCAAGTGTGCTTTGGAACTTAATGCCAGCCCCTATAAAAATCTGCACTCGACGGAGCTTCAGAAATCGAAGAGGCGCCTGCTCAGAAATCGAAGAGGCGTTTGCTTTCTCAAAAGCTGGGCTGCTTAGAGATCACGAGGGTTGATCTCAAAAATCGAAGAGGCGTTTGCTTTCTCAAAAGTTGGGCTGCTCAAAGACCACGAAGGCCGATCTCAGAAATCGAAGAGGCGCTCGCTTTCTCAAAAGCTGGGCTCCCCAGAGACCACGAGGGCCGATCTCAGAAATCGAAGAGGCACCTACTTTTCCAGCCTTGTCAGCACCTGTCACACGCACACTCAGCTTTGCGGAAATTATGGGCATTCTGTCGAAGACTTCTGGGGAAGTAGAAAACACATGAATCTTACTGTTCAATCACCCACTTCCCACACGCAACAATAGCTCATGGGTACCACAGATAACTTTGCCAAAGTTCTCTGCCAAAGTTGAGCACGTGAAGCTTGCAGCTCCCACTACATCGCTCTGACCAAGAAGGGTAAAAGAATAGCAAAGAAACAGCACTAACAAAGTTTAGACCCATAAATTTTGAAGGTCTAGCTACCATATTATTACCCACAAGGGTAAAGGAACAGTACCACTGCTGGATAATTGGAAAGTCCCTGTGTGTCAACCTCTGTGCTTCGTGGCAAGGTAGACTAGCAAACATGCCCAACCTTTACTCACATTCGAGAAAACACTCCCAATAAGATTGCTTGCTCCAAAATCGAAGAGGCACCGTCCTCCGAATCTCGAGAGCCAGACTCCCAACATGACTACTTTCTTAAAAATCGAAGAGAGGGTAAAGGAACAGTACCATTGCTGGATAATTGGAAAGTCCCTGTGTGTCAACCTCTGTGCTTCGTGGCAAGGTAGACTAGCAAACATGCCCAACCTTTACTCACATTCGAGAAAACACTCCCAACAAGATTGCTTGCTCCAAAATCGAAGAGGCACCGCCCTCCGAATCTCGAGAGCCAGACTCCCAACATGATTACTTCTTTCAAAAATCGAAGAGACACTGCTCCCCGAATCTTCGAGAGCCAGACCCCCAGCATGATTGCTTTCTCAAAAATCGATGAGGCATCGTTCTCCGAATCAATCGAAGAGGCGCTCGCTTTCTCAAAAGCTGGGCTGCTCAGAGACCACGAGGGCCGATCTCAGAAATCGAAGAGGCACCTACTTTTCTAGCCTTGTCAGCACCTGTCACACGCACACTCAGCTTTGCAGAAATTATGGGCATTCTGTCGAAGACTTCTGGTGAAGTAGAAAGCACATGAATCTTACTGTTCAATCACCCACTTCCCACACGCAACAATAGCTCATGGGTACCACAGATAACTTTGCCAAAGTTCTCTGCCAAAGTTGAGCACGTGAAGCTTGCAGCTCCCACTACATCGCTCTGACCAAGAAAGGTAAAAGAATAGCAAAGAAACAGCACTAACAAAGTTTAGACACATAAATTTTGAAGGTCTAGCTACCATATTATTACCCACAAGGGTAAAGGAACAGTACCATTGCTGGATAATTGGAGAAAACACTCCCAACAAGATTGCTTGCTCCAAAATCGAAGAGGCACCGTCCTCCGAATCTCGAGAGCCAGACTCCCAACATGACTACTTTCTCAAAATCGAAGAGAGGGTAAAGGAACAGTACCATTGCTGGATAATTGGAAAGTCCCTGTGTGTCAACCTTTGTGCTTCGTGGCAAGGTAGACTAGCAAACATGCCCAACCTTTACTCACATTCGAGACAACACTCCCAACAAGATTGCTTGCTCCAAAATCGAAGAGGCACCGCCCTCCGAATCTCGAGAGCCAGACTCCCAACATGATTACTTCCTCAAAAATCGAAGAGACACTGCTCTCCGAATCTCGAGAGCCAGACCCCCAGCATGATTGCTTTCTCAAAAATCGAAGAGGCATCGTTCTCCGAATCTCGAGAGCCAGATACCACAGACACTTTTTCAAAGTGCTCTGACAGAGTTAAAACATGTGAAACTGGCAGCTCCCACTACCGTGCTATGACCAAGCAGGGTAAAGGAATAGCATTACTACTTGTTGTTAGGGAGACTCCTATATATGTCGACCTCCATCCCCAACGGACAGGCAGACCTGCAAAAATGCTCAACCCTTCATCATATCTGAGAGGGCACTCCCAACGAAGCCTTTCGAAATATTCAGCTTTCTTTCCCCCCGATAATACCTCTGCAAACAAGCTATACTA